TGAATTGTGAGCCGTCCTGAGTCCCTTCAGGGAAAAGGGCGGCATACAAATAAAGGCAAATACAAATACAAATTGCATCGCGCAGGTGCCATACGTTCAGCGTGCATGCGCAGATGGCCCGTTTTCTTCAAATACAGGTAAGGAACGAGAGCGGGCCCTCCAAAGCACTGTTCCGGTACGGTGGTTGCTGCTTCTGGCAGGCACGGGTACCGGGACGTACCGCCTGCAACCCACCACTGCTCTGAATACTTAACATCTGGCTTGCTCATTGACTTTCTTGTCAGAAGGTCACAAAAGATGATCACATATCCCCGGGGATACTGCAACCATCATAACTACTGGTCAGTTGCCAAGTGTCCGAATTGTGATCACGTGACTGTGGAGATGCTGTAACAGTCATGGAGTGTGAAAAACAGTCACGGGTCATTTTCTTCAGTGCCGTTGTAATGTCAAAGCGTCACTAAACGAACGGTTGTTACGTTGAGGACTATCTGTACCGAACCTGACGTCATTGAACCCATTATCTTTATTCCGGGACAATGAATGAGACACAGAAAGGTGTTTTTCATTTGTGAATGTTTGAGTCTACTCCTTTCACATCCAAATGCTAGCTCTTCATATTGGAGGAAGCAGGTAGCTGCTTTGTCGATGTTTCTTAATGAAAAATTGATTTCTCATGTCCATCACGCAAATTGTGATGAAATGCCAACAGACCTTGGGAACATAGGGGAAGCAACAGGACAGTTATAGGCGGGAACAGAACCAGAGAGGGTATTCAGCTCGTTTGGACCAGTTCGCCTGAATCGGTAGTGGAAATTGCGGGTTGGAAATTGCAGGCGGGCCAGCCCGCCTACCTGCCCAGGCTCTAAGCCATCCTATTTAGGCATGTTTTCAAGCCGTGTTCATGCATGTAAGCCATGCGTACAATCAAAGCGCATGTGCAGGAGGCACATTTACAAACTGGTAGAGAAAGTAAGTGAATACTACCCCTGAACAGAGCCCATTATACAAGCATTTCTTGAACCCGGGTCAAGGAAATGCCTGAGAAGAGACTTAGAGCACCTACATTGCTTTCAGTACCGAGGTGGTATTCAGCCAGTTCTGACAGATTCTGGAGAATCGGTAGTGGAAATTTTGAGTAGTTCGGAGAACCGGCAAATAGGCTGGCCCCGCCCACACTGCCTCCCAACCTCCTAGCTGATCTTCTTTTGTTGCCCTAAAGAGGAAAACGGAGCTGGAAAGCAGGTTAGTGGGGTGGGGAGGGAATGGGGATTTTGCAGTACCCTTCCCCTGCCACACCTACAGGCCATGCCCACAAAGCCACACTATGCCCACAAAGCCACGCCGACAGAACCGATAGTAAAAAATATAGAATCCCACTACATTTCAGTATACTGTAGGTTGAGCAAGAGAATTCCTCTGGGTGGCTTTCAAGCAAGATCTCAGACATTCAAGTGGGTCTTTTTTTCTGTATTCGTGGGCTTAACACAAATGGAGTCATTGGCTTTTTTACTCTTGTGATGCAAAAAGTACCACGGTTACACACACAAATCAGGCACGTCTAACTTTTGTGGATGAACCATCAAGGATGCTGACAAAACTCCACTCAACAAGTACAGTCCTTTCAAACTGATGACCTAAAAACAGTATTACTGCATATGGCCTCTAGCATACATGTCCTACATTCCAGCCCTTAGCTGCTTTTGGTTCCACCACAAAACCGCGTTCGACTAAACCGCGCTCGACGAAACCACATAGCTGACGTCATCAACAGGGCGACAACAGC